AAAAAAAACCCCACAACCTCTGCAACTACCTATAGCTACCAGGACCTCATAAGTAGACACACAGATGTACTAGCCCATTTTCTGCTCTCTGTGCCTACAGCAGTCTCCATGTCCTTGGACTGTATAGGGGTCTGAGGCAAATAGTTATGTTTTACCTTCACTACATTGGTGCCGTCTGCAGCAGACACAAAGTAAAAGGGCAAACTGAACTTCCGGGCAAAGTTGAAACTTTTCTGGGTCACCTTCATATCCGCTGGGGGCAAAAAAAGAAGTGGTCAGTAAGACATCACTGTAGGCAGAATGCCAGCGTATGCAGGAGTGGTGGAACAGACGGAGATGAGAGCCCAATTTAGCTGTCAAGGCCTCCTCACTGTAGTATAAGGCTAGGAGAGTCCTCCCCAAAAGCTATAGGGTTTTAAAAGCAAAAGCATCCAGCAAATTCCAAATTCCAAATCAGCATCTTCCATTGACAAGAAGAACCAAAAAGAAAAGCATTCTTGTTGGTTTATCCTTGGTGCTTGACTAAATTATAGATGGATTCTGATGTGCTATAAATGAATTATGCTTTGCAGCTTAGAACATATGAGTTCATTTGCTGTGCGGCAACTATGAATGTTTTCCAGGCACATCCCTACGATTTTTGCTTGTCTGTCCACATGACCTGGACACCATTGCCAGTACTAGTCATGCCTCTCCCTCCAGTTTGGCCTTCTTAACTAGAACGCCTCACTGCCCTTATGCCACATTACTTGTATTCCTGTGAGTCAAGGGCATGCTCACAGTGTACAAATGACCCAACTATTACATATTTTTACTTAACAGGCAGTTAGGTCCAGCTACCCCCAACCTCAGTAGGCCAGAGGCTTCATTTCCATTTTGGAACAAATTTACTGCATATTTACAGGACGTGCTGACACAGCAGTAACAGCTCAAAGTTTTGATAGATAGACAGCCTGTATGCCAGCACAGGAGGATGACTCCAGATGATCCGCCTTTTCTCACAGAAGCAACAGCTGAAGTAGTTCAGACTCCAAATGCTTGCCAGCGAGCGCTGCCCAGGCAGCCGCTCCCTACCTCTTTGCAGGAGGCTGGATCAACTGTTCTGCTCTGCAGGCTGGGCCTGTGTTAAGAGCTGTGGGCTGATCATCTCCTAGTCCGGGTGGAATACAGCAAACAAAGGCAAAGCAGAGGAGTCTTTCGGAGCCGTGTCCACTCGCACATAGAACACTAAGAGCAGGATTCATCTACACAGAGGTTCTGTCTACAAAATGGCTGTCAACACCAAGTCCATTTGCCCCAGGCTTCCTGTACAGTCCGTGCAATCAGTGGATTCGAGGCTGGCTTGACACTTCCTATAGGAAAGGCTTTTGTTAGGTGAGATCAATCATGCCCTAAACCACACCGCTGAACCAAACGAGCTTCCGTAGACTACAGTGGGAGCCCAGACACCTTATTCAGGTGGACACACCTATTCATAGCTGCGATGATTTCTACCATGAATGTCAGCAAGGAAGCCCATGTTGGACACTGTACTTGACAGAGAATAGCAGAAGACTGTGGTCCTAAGGGTATGTGTTCTCTCGTTGATGCTGAGCAGAAAGCTGATGCGTTAAGCGCTCTCGCAGGATGCAGGAGACAGATCACAACCCAAATGATAGCAATAATGAATGCCTAGCTGGCATTCCTAAGAGGAGGGAATCATCCAGTCATCTGCAGAGGAAGATGAACAATTTTGCCAGCAGGTATATTTAGACACTTTAGTACAAAGGAGTCCCACGGAAACCTGCAGGCTGAATTAGCAATACAAAGGCAGTTACTGACTCTATCAGGGGAAGCCACATAATAGGTTATGCTCCTCTTCCAGCAAGACACCTTGCAATTCTTGACTAGGTACTGCTCCAATCAGCTTTTGGGTTCTTGCTAGTTGAAATGGGCAGCGTGGTAAGGACAGAATTGCAAGGACGTCACTTGAATAAACTTTAAATGGATCAAATTTGTATTTTTAATTGCTAGTAAAACAAGGACAAGAGCCGATAAGACAGCAAGCCGGGTCAGCAGAGGACCCAGCTATTTGTTTGCTAAAATACAGCCCTGAGGGACTAATACTCAAGAACTCACCTGGACCTAGCAGATGAATGACATTCTTTCTCAGCCAGGTTGGAAGAGAACCACATCACCATTCTGAGAGGTTGAAAGAAGAAGATATACTCACCATCAATTTTGTTGGCCACCACAATGCAAGGAATCTCTGGGCGGAATTCCCTCAGCTCCTTGTACCAGCTGTTCAAGTTCTTGTAGGTGACTTTCCGCTGCACATCAAACACCTTCCGAAAAAGAACCAGCTATCATGGGGCCAACAGCAGGACAGCTCCTGATCAACCCACTGCACCAAACACAAGTACAGAATCCAGAATTTTCCCAGGAGGACATCAACAAAGGAAACTGGCCTTTGTTAGAAAAGATGAAAGAGAAAAGGGAGACTATCCAGCAAGCCTTGAAACATGCAGCCAGCCCGTTTCTTTGCATGATGCGGGAAACAGTCCCTCATTTTCCTTTACATTCTTATTTTGGACTACAACAAGCACTCTATCACCCATGAGAGTGAACAAGCATCTGGGATCACAGATCTTCTGTTCTGCTAAGTAGGGTCAGATGTGAGGCTTCTCTATTTTAACAATTAAAATATCAATGAAGTTGACTGATGCTCACAAGTGATGAGAAATAGTGGAAAGTTAGAGCCACAGTACAAACCAAGAGACCTAAGCGGGTTAGGAGTCAGGAAACAAGACTGATATGTCTTATGTAGTACCCCTGCAGAACATGTCAGAACAGTTTTGTACTACATAATCCAATAGTCACATCACAGAACAAGAACGGAATGCCCTCTCCCTCGCATGACCCCTGATAGGACTTCTTCTAAATAAGCACATTCAGTTGTACGTACCACCTTACTGGAAACACAGTGACAAAAGTAAGGCAATTTAGAAGGCAGCAAAGCCGGAGAATACACAGTAAGAGTGCTACCAGGAAAGACAGCAGAGAGCTAAACATACCCAGCTACACTGGTTTTATCTGGTGAGAGACGAAAGAACAATACAGGAAAGGTTTTTTAAACCACTGGAAGAGACAGGAAATATAAGGCAGCGTAATCACAAAAAGTAATGTACGGGCCAAGTGTCAACTGGGACTGTTATTAGTCAAAATTCCATCAGATCACAGCTGAGACACTACCCTTACCATGATACAAGCATGAGCCTTATGGTAATAGGATGCATGCATGCTCTGGAACCTCTCCTGTCCAGCTGTGTCCCAGAAGTCTGTAAGACACAAAAAATAAGCTTAGAATGATCACAGAATCACAGAATCACAGAGTCACAG